ATCTAATTCAAATTAACATAACATCCTGCATATAACTTGCAATTTATCTGTGTTTTAAAGTCAGTTTGAAAGCAGGTAGTCTATGCATGCTTGGCCATCTGGCAGTCTATTGTGGTTGGTAGCAAGTCATGTCTTTCCCTGCTTATTTAATTATATGGCCTATATTCTTTAATTTATATAGTTTCTACTTTAGTTATTATAGGCCAAGGCCTTATCTTATTTTAAAATAGATTTCTAGCAATTTTTGCAGGTTATATGAAGGAAATTAAAATACTTTTCTCAGAATACTTTCAGGGTATATACTCATCATTGAATCACTTGTGATGATAGGATTATAGTCTGACTAATAAAATTTTCTAAGTTTTTGCTCTGAAAAAAGCAATTTAAAGAAGAGACAAGACTAAAAGTTTAAAACTAAAACAATTCTATTGATAATAGGACATATAATAAAATACTAACCCATTTTTCTAATTCATTTTTGTCCACTTTCATTCAGGAATTTTTAATTTTAATGTAATTAAACATAAAACTGAAAAAAACGAAAGAAATGCGTCAATTTTGAAGAAAAAGCTTCAAAGTTTATTTTCCATTGTCTCGCCTTTCTGCGAAGTCTGCCACCGATGAGTAATTGTGTTCACAGCTGGATGACCTTGAGAACAGCTGGTGTTGTCTTTCCCGGGACATTCTCATAAAAGTCTCAGGAGGAGAAACGTCTAAAGTAGGGTGAATACTAGCTGGCCGTATATTTCTAAACATTTTTGAAAAATTACGTTTTTTATTGCGATTTCCGACCCACCCGACTTAATTAAACGTATATATAATAAAATCTATTAATTAAAAAAATTAAAAAAACTATTGGAGGTCGTTTTTCACATCAGAAAGTAGCTTTAAATAACTTTACCGAAGTAAAATCCGTGCACTAGAACTTTAGAACGATGAATGAAATTTGATAAAAAATCTCATAAAGAACAATTAAGCGTTAATCGTGCGTCATTATAAGTTGATTAAAATTGCGGGAAAAAATTTGGAGACTAAAAAAACATCCGAAAATAAAAAAAATGTATATTTTTTGGAGGGTCCAAAAAACCGTTTGTTATGTAACGCTATGTAACCTGCTCGAGTCAGACTCGAGCGTGGGCAGAAAGGGATTTTAATTAATTACATTTAAATCATTTTTTGACAAATTTGAATTGATTAATAAATATTTCTGCTCAGAAAAAAATCATCTCTCTTATTAATTTATATCAATATCCTACTACTATATATGTTATATAGTATATAACATATATATATATAGGTTATATATATGAAAACATAGTACTTATTTCACTAGGTGCTGCTTCATGATGCATCAATATAGAAAAAATATTCTATATTTCTTAAGAATGTTCAAATAATGTATTACAAAACTGATAATACATTATAATTGATGAAAACACTTTTACCTTCTTCAATATTGAACACTTCATTAGTAAATGGAATACAGTATAAATGTTAATATTGTATCATTGATTTTGTAAAACAATATTTGATCATTATTGATTGGTTTCAGCAAGCTTTAAACATTATACTTTTTCTATTTCTTGTATAACAATAAAAAAACTAGGGGAAAATTATTTAAAATGTATTTGTAATTAGAAGATAAATACAAATTTTGGAGTCTTCATAATTCATCCAGAAGGACTTTTAACAATTTTATTTAATTATGCAGGAAAGAACCTTAGAAAAAAAAAAGATTGAGTCGACTTGCAGCATGATCTTGTGTTTGTTGCAAAAAGAATGAATGGTAAAGATTCTAAAATATTTTTTTTCTATTAATTCACTATTTTTTTATTCTTTCATCATTTGACACAAAATATAAGAAATGTTGGAAATTGGCATAATATATATATATATATATATACAGTATAGTACAAGATTTTATAAAAATAAAGATAAATTAAGAACTAGAAACTATCTCAATTTACAGATTCATTTACAATAAGTAGTATTGAAATAAGCATTAATCTAAAGTAAAATTATTAAAAATTGATTTTTAATTATAAGTGATATGTTTTTTACCAATTATCTGAATAAAAAAAATTAATATGGTTAATTTTTGCAACATCATTTATAGTATAAATAAAGATAATAAAAGAATTATAGGAGTTAATGAATCAATAATGTCATATTTGTGATCACTAAAGTTAAATGAATACAAAAATCTAGAATTCGTTCACAAATATCCAGTATTTGAATATGAATGATATCTTATAGTGCTATACACTTTTAAATTATGTTCCTCATACTTATTTAAGTAAAATATAATTGTTTCAAATATACTAGCAAAGTTTACAATATTATCATCAGATGTTTAGATTAAAACAATGGATCATCATCATTTAGATTTTAAAATTTAAAATTTGACTTTTTTTTTTTAAAGAAAAATGTCAAGTTGTAGTTGAATGTCTTTTGTATATTTCTGGTATTAATTACTAAGTTTTTTTTCTTTTTACTGTTGCTGTATGCATTTTCATTCTTAATTTTTGCTTATAACCTCGGGTTTCTCCATTTTATACTAAATATGAAAAAATTCTGCATAAAAAGATGAGAAAGTAAGTTATATTTAGAGAATAATTTTAAATTTTTTATAATAAATTATTGCATATTGCATTAAACCGACATCAGATATTTAAATAAAGAGTCATTATGTTAAATTCAAAAATAATTTTTTGAAGATGATAAACTTATTCTTTTATAAGAGCAGAGATGTACCGGTATGTTCATCTCATGCAAAAGTAAAAGGCTAATAAATATGACTAAATAAGAGTACAGTATACAAAACAGGAAATGGTCTTTAACACTTTCTTTTCAAATCCTGAACATAAAAATCACTTAAATACTGGCATAAAGAATTTTTTTAAACAAATAATCATTTTAAAACTTTTGAGACTCCCTTAGAAGATGAGGCCTTCAGGCATGGTTAAATATACTCATGTGTTAATGCAGCCCTGAATGCAAAGGATACACTATCTCCTTGCAATCAATAGTTTGTAAATACTAGAATTAAATAAACAAGTAACAAAAAAAAATGACAGTTCATAATTCCCTTACAACCAAAAATTACTTTTGTATTTATCATCTTTATTTAATTTTTTTATTCATTTGTTTTATTTGTTCATTTATTATTTTTTAAAAAATTTTGAAATTTTATTTATTATGTTGGTTATTTTCTTTTGTTTTACGTTCCATGTACAAATACAGAAATTTGAAAATTTTCATTCAAGAATGTCCTATCCTATTTACAATAGTTATTAGTTTGTATCCTGCATCTAAGGATGACTTGTAGAACAGTATTTAATAAACATTTTCTCAGCAAAAATAAATGTTGGAGTGTTAAAATGAAACAAACCATTCATATTAAATAAAATGTAACTACAGTAATATACATTTTTATCCTTAAAACTATTGTTTAAAAGTGTAATAAATGATTTAAAAAACATTCTTATAAATGATTAAATTCAAAAATCAAATTTATATTATTGTGACATCATGACAATACCAGGCTGCAATTTTTAATCATATTTTAATTTAAAAAATCCTGGTCCAGCCAGAAGTTTGTATCCAATTAATCGGGGCCTCCAACCCCTAAGCTTTCCATTTCTGGTCTCAATTTTCATATATCTAACTTCATTCTTGAGATTAATGAAAGACAGACAGATAACAGTGGGAATGTATAGGTCTGCAATTTGAATTGCATCCTAATAAAGTATAAAATGATCATCTGCTTTATCAAAGTTTTCAGTTATCTGTGGTAGCATCAGTCTGAAATACCTGAGATAATCAGGGTTCTACTCATGTGAAACAGTATTTGCTTTAAAATTTAATTTATTTTACCACTAATATTAAATGTAATTTATTAATATAACAAATTACAAATAATAAATATAATTGTTCATAAAATGACAAGGTAATTATGGAAATTTAAATACAGTGGAACCTCGCTTAATGAGCACCTCGCATAACAAGCAAAGCAAATTGTGCAAAAATGACTTGCTTAATGAGCAATGTTTCACATAAAAAGTAACCAGAAGGGGGAAGTCCCAGATTGTGCGCATGCTCCATTAGTTTGTGTTTAGCACTCATTCTACTATCATCTTAGTGTCACTTGCGATCACACATTTTTCCAAACTTGTGTTCACACATATTACATATAAACATTAACAATCATAGCTCATTATATAATGAACACACCAAACGATATGCCAAATTCTTGGGCTATGTAAAGCCTATAATTAAATATTAAAAATTAATTAATTTGATTAGCGGTAGGCAGTTATGCTGCCATCTCATATTACATTTAATGACCAATTTCAAATTAAATACCTGTTATCATATTTTATGAAAAAACTTCTTATATTTTAAACTATTATAAAATGGCAAAAAGCTTAATTTTAAGGGTAAGGATGAGTTTTATAAAAAGTTGTAAATGCTAATGAGTAAAATCGTCATTAAGTCTGACCCTATTGAAGATACATACAACCCCCATTATCTCCCCACCTCCTCAACCTTTAACCACCAAAATGTGATAGCATCAATCTCCCAATAAACAAACCTCACTGCAAAATTTCAGAAATTTTTGGCGAAAAGCATAGGAATTATTAAGCTTAAAAGAGGGTGAACAAAATCATGTCCCACACACAAACATCCATACAGAAATTACCTCCTAATTTTTTTGCATTTCTCAACATTTAAGAAGTTCAAAAATATAAAAATCTGGGTGGGTCATTTTTTGCTGGATTGCCATACTTTCTCTCTGTATAACAGCCAGGAAAGTAAAAATGGCATTTGGAAATAATTTTTCTCTCTTTAATATTGAAATTTAAACAATAAATCATTTCAATTCCTGAAAATATATAATGCAGCATATTTTTATGTATTTCTTGGCTGGTATGAACAAAACTCAAATGAATGAAACTAATGTTAATTATTTGAATGTTTATTTAAAATCAAGAAAAGAGTAAATTTTTATATCAATATTTAATGTTTGAGATAAATATAAAATTCAAGTAAATACAACAGTGTTGAGCATAGCTCCTAAACACTGAACAATATTTGAAGCCATCAGTACATCAACATGTTCTTCTAAATGTCTTTTGGGATCCTATAAAAATTAAAATATTTGTTTTTGGAATTTAAAAAAATATCCTAATTAAAACAATTTCAAATGTTCAAATTTTATTATTTACCTGTTTTCCAACATTTTTAATTGCCAATTGTTCTGGTGTCATTTTATCTTCCTCCTCCAAAGACTAAAAATATATAATTAGCATGTGTTAACTTTATGCAATACTTTATGATGTCAATAAATAATCATTACATTAAAACAGCTAAAAAAGGATAATAATAATAAATTAATTTGCTAGTTATAAAATTAATAAAATTGCACAATTATAATAATTTTTAATGAAACTTTAGCTAGTTCTAGGTCAGGGGTGGCCAACAATTTTTGCCCCTGGGCCGAATTGGAAAGAAAACTTTTTTCACAGGCCAAACCAGAGGCTGCCCTAGCAAAATTTTGAGGTGGTGTGAGATCTTATTGTGGTGTCACCCCGTAGAGACTAAATTGTACATAGAGATTACAGATATATTTTTCACATTATCATGCATTATCAACATTCTACACTGTACTAAAGGAATTTGTAATGGAGCATTAAATCTAAACACACAGTGAGTTGTTGACCTTTTTTTTTAGGCATCATAATTTTTCATTGAGATATTCTATTCAGACTTAAGTAGCTAATATTGAAAGATTAATCGCAGGCAACATAAGTTCATTAGATGGGCCATATGTTGGCCATGCCTGTTCTAGGTAATAGTAGCAAAACTTTTATACTTATCATTGTAACTCATAACATTATAAATTTTTCAGATATAATAGCTGATTAATTATTCCAAACTATATTTACAAAAATTATAAATGGAACTGCAATCTTTGCCCTCATTCATCCCTTCATATATTATATTATATAATATTAATAAAGAGAAATATCAAAATGATAAAGCAAATTATAATTAAGTTTGGATGTTGTGAGCATCACTTCAATAGAAGTGTTGCTTCATAATTCTAATATAAATTCAAAGATTATAAACTCTAGATGAATAACTAATCACAAATACATAATTGATCTGAAAAATTTTGAAGATAAGAGACAAGCTTCTCAAAACTATTTATTTAAAAGTATTAAATTAGGCTTTAAGAAAACTATTAATCTTATAAATATATACAAGTTTCTATAAACTTTTCTGAGAATTAAAAATTATGAAGTAAAATATCTCAATGATCAAGAAAAATGTTCAGTAAAATATGCAAATTTTAAAAATCTATTTTGCATCTTTCAAACATACATAGTTGTTTTAACTAATAATATCATACCTTGTTGTAGGCCTTAGCAAGTTCTAGCATTTCACAAACAGTTTTTTCATTTGTCTGGCAATGTTCATTATAATCCTCTAATGTCAATCCATCCATCCAACTCTTTTTATGTAAGTTCAACAACATCTGCAAGAATGTATAAAAACAATATATTCTCATATTAATGAAATGCTTAACAATCATCTTTTTTTAAAATAATATATTGAAATCTTCAGTATTTAAGATATTACAACCACATTGAATTACAACAGATTCAATAAAAAAGAAACGGCAGTAAAATTTGGAGAAATAATAACAACAATAAAAGTTAAAATGATTTAATTATTGTAATTTATTAATATAATAATATTTGTAACTCTTAGTGTACATTAGTTAAAAAATAAAAATTTACCTTCTGTTCTAGTTCATTCTTCCTATAATTGATTGATATTGAATAATAGTGACGATTTAATCCATGTATCAATGCCTAAAAAATAAATCATTTTAAAATTATAAATAAATTTTATATCTACATTATAACTCATTCATAGACTAACAGATGAATATTAATTATCATTATTCATAAAAATTTTCATTTAAAAATGCTAGTTATAAAAATATTATAATATAAATATGATTTTCTAGAAAACAAATTTTAATATTTTATGTATAAATCACTAAACAACAATTATATTTTTTATACGCAGTATGTAACTGATGGTTGTTCCATATTTGATGTATATTTTGAAAAATAAAATTAAATTAAAAAAAATAATAATACAGTAGCCCCTCATTATATCACAAATTTGGATATATTGCACTTTTTTTTTGGTCCTCCAAATTTTAAAATCACTAAAGTCAATAAATTTTAAATTACCAATTACCATTGAATTTCTTTTTGTAACAAAATACCATATTTTATTCTTGCCACTGCAAGTGAAACGATAAATTCATCAAGTTCTAAATAAGAAAAATAGATGGACAGATCAATTATCATTTGTTTCCTTTTGATATTAAAAGTTGTTTATTTATTGGTTTCAAGTATGAGCACCTCATTTACAAGTTTCCGTGAATTTGAAATTTCACACTTTTATGTAAATTGACGCAATACCATCAATACACATAAAAGATGTGAAATTTCAAATTCACCATTAATGTGTATAGAAAAGATTTCTTTATTTCTGAATGAAAAGTTCTAAAATTTTTATATAGTAATAACTTTGCTTTTTAGAAAATTTTTACTCTGTAATTTTGAAGTTTTGATGTATTGATATATGTTCAATATTTATTTTTAAAATTTTTAATTACTGTATTTATAATTTTTATTGAAAAATGTAAATTATGTGAATTTTTAATAAGCGATTTATTGTGAAATATAGTACTGTATAATAAAATCACAACTAATATTTTGTTTTTATATCCACAATATTTGTCTTCGAATGTCATTGTTAAAGAAACAATAATGCTAAATGCACATTCATGGTATCGATGTTTACATAAATGTCAATTTATAAGATATAACCACAAATAAAATTCGGTATTTGCAAAACTACGCTTATTTTATATCAGAAACACTTGCTCATGAAATAATAGAGGTTAGAGATTCCACAGCATGTATCATCTGTTTAGTATAAGCCCAGATTTTTTAGTACTCAGTTATATCATACTTTTTCTTTATCTCCTAACAAGTGCAATATAACGAAGGACTACTGTAGCAGTTTAGTATCTTTTATATACAATGTGAGAAAAAATTTTATTAATCAACTTAATAAAATATATATATATATATAAAAGAGACCAGTTTATTTTAGGTATAAAAATGTTTTTCAAGTCTATCCAACTCATCTTCAGATACATTTCCAAACTCAACTGAATATAATAAAACATTTGAATTTCAAGCATCAGTAGAACTTCAAATTAGTACAGATCTTATACATTGAAAAATGCCTAGTTTGTTCTAATCATAAGATGTTTGAAATTTGAATGTTACTTATGTTCAATTGAGTTTGAAAAAATATTTAAAGATGAGTCAAGTAGACTCAAAAAGTTTTATACCTAAAATATACTGACCTCTTTATTGGAACAGTGTTTATTTTTCCCGTGTGGACATTACAACTGGCTGATGATTATATGTATATGTAATTATATTGTATTTTTTTTTTTGTTTATTAATAAAATTTTATGTAAAACTATTAAAAAGAATATAAGGTGGATCCATTTATAAATTTCCATATGAAAGTTTATTAATTGTATCCACAATTCTTGATATATAAATTTAACATTTCTATATTTGCTATTAAACAATTTAGTTTAAAAATAAGCCAATAATAATAATAATTACAAAAAATAAGGCAACCAATGGTTTTTAATCTAACAATTGTCATTCCTCTAAATCAGTATTTCTTAACCTTTTTATTTTTTTTGATTGACAACCCCTTGAATCTTAAAATACAATCTTGCACCCTCTTGAAAATTGTCTTCTAATGCTTTGTTATGAAATCCAAGTGAGTTCAAAATGGCAAAGGTTGAGAGGGTAGCAGTGAAAATCCAGAAATCATTATATAGCATTTCCAGTTTATCATGGGCTCTGAGAGTACATAGTACAGTCAAGTCAAATTTATCAGGTCAGTCCATAAGTTTGTGCGCATTTTTATCTACAAAAAAAGCAACAAAAAATCTTAATTAAATTTTATTTCAATCTATAACACAGGTCAACAGTGGTTTTGGTGCCCAGGTATTTTGAGCTGATTTCATATGAATTTGATGTCCTGAATTCAAATATGGCATTAGTTTTTGCCTAGGAGCTCTAATTTTTAAGATATAGCATTTTAGCAAAATATATGTTTCACTATCTTAAGTTAAATCCATGGATCAAGTAAAAAAAACTAAACATGGAATTTTTATTATTATATTATGCAAATATTATTCTATACAAAGATAGAGGAAAAAGTCATCAATAAAACTAAACAGTTACACATTGAGGAAGCTTCTTTTCCNGAAATTCTTCATTTCCTACCTCACGTCCCCACCCCACTTTTGTCTTTCTGTCCTAGCACCAACTATCAGCAACTGGCAGAGATAACATGTGTGCCCAGAAACCAAATCTCACGCTTGATAAAGCAGGAAGATAAACTTCGAGAAGAATGGACATTCTGCAAAGGAAGCCAGGAACAATCTGGAAATGGAAACATGAGGGCAATCCGGAGGGAAGCACGATTGAGAGCAATGTTGACTTCTGGATAAGTCGACGATGCTCTCAATCAATGTTTGCCACTGTAACTGCGAAAGGTGTTTGTGTTAGTGGTCCAATGCTCAAATGCCAAGCAGAGGTTCTCACTAAACAGCTGAATCACCATGATTTCAAAGCAACAGATGGTTGGTTGTCTCAATGGAAATCAAATTTAAGAAAGCTCATGATGAGAAGGAAAGTGACAATGTCACAAGTGCAGATGAATGGAAAAATATCAAATTGCTTGAACTTTCGGAGAAGTTTTCATCAGATGACATCTACAATTTAGATGAAACTGAACTTTATTATCGTGCTACGCCAGATGGATTGTTGTGCTACAAGCACATTGCTTTATCTGGTTCCAAGAAAGCAATGGATCACATAACTGTGTTGCGTTGCTCGAACTTGTCAGGTGGCGACAAACAGAAGCTGTTGGTCATTGGGAAAAGTGTGAAGCCCTAATGTTTTAAAGGTCTTCAAATGGACACATTGCCAGTGGTTTACCATTCAAACAAAAATGCATGGATGACCTCTGAACATTTTAAGGACTGACTTAAAACGTAGGATCGAGAAGTAAGACGAAGCTCAAGAAAAGTCATCTTGCTGTTGGACAACTGTGTCACACATCCTCATTTGGTTTGCCTGAAAAACAACCAGATTGAATTTTTGCCTTCCCAGACCACTTCTTAAATACAGCCAATGGATATGGGGATCATAAAGAACTTGAAGACACTGTACCGTGAACAACTGATAAATTTTATTCTCCAAGCAACTGAAGATAATCTACTATCATCATCTTTAACTGCCATCGAAGTAAGCTCGAAGGTCAATGTGAGAATCTAGAATTAAAAGGAAAGTCATTTTTGGGCAAAAACAAGGAGAGAAAAAGATTTATAAATTAATAGAAAATAATATTTTATACTTCAACGAATTTTACAAAAACGGATGTCAAAAGAAACTTTCGATTTTAGAAAGGAAGTTGATTTCCTTTCCACAGCCGACTCATGAAATGAGTCGAGCTTTTGCACACGCTACTTGGCTGTCAGAGAGGGCCGATATAAAAGGGACATTTTCCCACCATTCGGGGCAGTTTGTCGAAAGAGGTATTGCCACACGAATCCTGCAAAGTCATTGAAAGAACTAGCCATACGACATAGAGCAGTCCATCGAAAGAGGTATTGCCACATGAAGAAAGTCTGTCATACAAGTCTGTCATATGAGTTAGTTAATTGAAAGTCATAGTATAGAGCCCTCCATTCGAAGTATAAGACAAGATTGTCATAAGAGAAGTTACTTTAAAGGAAAGTGCCATAGAAGATTTAAGAAGAAGAATAGTATCGATGATAAAAGATTCTCATACAATGAAAGATTGAAAGAACTGAGAAGGTAATATGATAATCGTTAGATCGATGTAAACTCTCTCTCTCATGACAGGTTTAAAATAAGAGTANGTCATTATTTAATTCGGTGCACGCTTAAAGTCCAGGCCTGGCACACTAACGCGAATCCGCGTAAAGTACCCGTTAGGGAACGGCTATTTCCGGCACACAGTAGTGTCGATAATCGTTGGAAAGTCGGAAAAATAATATAGTACTTTACAACTGGCGCCCGAATAGGGACTCGAACCCTAGACCGTTAGGGTTCGAGTCCCTATTCCACTTTGATTTATTAAATGTTTTGGTTTACTTTAAAAATATGGTTTGGTTAATGTTAGCTATTCATACTCATTCCTATTCAAGTTATCTATGTTCCTCATACTCACAAGTTAGGGATAACGTGTGTTAATCCGCATGTAAAATAACAGATTAACTGGTGTCAAGGTCCTGATGTGATCTAGACCTTACCATCTAGATCTTTTTAACATATTGGTTAAAGCCCTCCTAAAAGAATAAGTGAGCCAATCTAACGATTGTGTGCCGATTAAGTGGTACTCCAGTTTGCTATCCCCGGCTAATCTCACACATCCCAGGTTAAAAAATATTGCTCTTAACTGATAATTATAATTTTATTATATAGATTCATTATAAAATACCTGAATAGAAGGTTTGGTGAGATGACCCAGATTAGATGTTGTTTGTCGAGGTTCTTGTCCCAAGACCATCATATTAGGATTGATAAGTCTAAATGCATCAATCACAACCTATCAAATAAAAAATTATAATAAATTACCAAAAATTTAAAATTTTAAAAAATACTCTCAAAAGTTTCTTACTTTTCCTTTTACACTTTGAATAGGATCAACAACAACTGCAACTGCACGTTCAGATAAAGCCTCAAAACTTTGTTGGGTATTAATATCTACTCCTGATAACCAACAACCAAATCCAGGATGAGAATGATACCATCCTACCACCATTTCTGGCCTTTAAATTAACAGAAATACATTAAACTCTTAAATAAATTTGTATGAAACATATTGAATTTAAATAACTTATAAAATGCAAAGTAATTAATGAAGAATGTTTTTTAGTTCTTTCACTTATAAATGAATTTATTACTGATAATATAGAATAATTGCTTCTTATATTGTATTTAATCAATTTTACTGATCACGGTCTTAATTTCTGAGAAATGTATAACCATTAAGTAGATTATTACTCATTTTGTTTTATCTGAAAATTTTGAAAATATTTCTATTAATGTTAATAATGTTAAGTCTAAAAATAAAATTTGAAACATCTTGATTTATAACCAGTTCAGCCTTTGTGAGAATAGAAAAAAAGAATCTCTCTCTTTTCTATTATTCTCTTCATGTAAGTGTTCATACTTCAAAACAACACAAGCAAAATGTACATGTTTTTTCAGTACCTGCAATTCAAAATAAAGCTTTGAAAGCAGAATTGAACAGAATTATGGGCTATAAATAAAGAGAAAAGGAGACATTATGTTAATTTTACTTGCTAACCAAAAGAGAACAGAAATACAGATTTTCACTAGTAATGTGAAAAGCATTACATATTAAACCCACTTGGTGGCTGTTATTTTTTTGTTCTTGCGAAGTATGAACCAGCTTTATTATTTTAAAAAATAAATTTATACTAAAAATCCTTGAAACTTATTATCTAGAATTAAAACTTTTAAGTTTGAAATTAAGTTATCAATTCTATGCACAGTAAGCTAGAACTTCTGTATATTACATTTCAAAACACCTTTCACTCTTTTTTGTAGTAAATTCTTTAATTAAATCAAATGAACGAATGTTTTTGGCTATCTTAACCTGAAGAAGGTCATTTAAGATAGCTGAAAATGTTAGTTCATTTGATTTAATTAAAGAATTTGCCAAAAAAAAAAAAAAAAAAAAAAAGAGTGAAAGGTGTTTTGAAACTTAAGTTATCAATGTTACAATGACTAAAAATCCATAACTATTTCATTTTCATTGTATATATTACACTAAATATTTTTTCTCTTTCATTTGTAAAACACAATTCTGATTTCAAAATAGAAAATTTAATAAAATAATTTCATTTTATTTAAAATGTATTCTTCAGATAATTCATATAAAATTTTTTTGGAAGTAACAAATAAATGATTGCATATTCTGTATTTTCTAAGTTAAACATATTATAGATTTAATTCCAAATTCAGTTTTTAACTTTAGATAACCATTTTAATAACTCTCATTTCTTTTCAAAAAAAATAAATAAATAAATAAACAAATAAGTCTCAAATTCTGATTTCTAGTATCATTAATGCTAATAATAATAATTTTTGGTAATAAAAAATTGAGAGGTTTGTCAATGGATACAGTACATACCTTAGAGGTATGAAGGAGTACATGACAGGTGTTGCAATTTGGCACAGTATTAGATGCCCAAATCATGTGCACATAAAAAAAAGTCAGACTTGTAGGTACTCGGGGAACTGAGAACAGAGTCAAAATAAAATACAAAATGGTGACACTCTTTGTACAAACAAGCATTAGTGTGAGATTTGCGCATGCATTGCTTGTTGGGAAGTTGGAAATGCAAACGTTGCAAAATTGAATTTTGATAAATGAATCTTTGAAAAAACCCATTTACCTGTCCTGTGTTATTCCTAAAATATCTCTGGTCATGACCAGCTGACCTTGGCCGGTTGACCCAAGATATCTCGTTTCAGCATCGGAATGTTTTTGAAACTAGATGGCGTTTATCATTATAATTTTATATTATAAAACTAACTTCTGAAATATAATTTTTCTTTCTTTTTACATTTATTAATATATTTTGTTTGTGCAAAATAAAAAATAATTTTGGACAATACAATAGCCATGATTATTTTTTTCAAAAATGGGGAATTTTTGTTAGGCATCAACAAAAAGTCAACCTGGGGCGACATGCAATGGAGAAGAATTTCGACATTGGATAGGTTAATTTCACCAAAAATGCACTGTGGATGACTTCATGGTCATGACCGTGGCTGACGAAGTTTGAATAATCATGCTCAAAACCAGCAATACTAAAGAAGATTGGAGAATGAGACCTGCCATGAGTGTGAAAGCAATTCCACTTAGTAGTAAGTTTTCAAGACATAGTCTTGTCCCAAATACGGCCTTGCCATTTTACTTGTTTAATTTTAAAATGAAAATTAAAATTAGCAAAATTTACTTAATTAATAGTGAAATAGTCATTTAAAATAATCATTAAGAATATTTAATAGATATTTATGATAATCATTTATTTAATTCTCATGATTATCTATAATTTGTGAGAATATTAAATTTGAAAAATAAAGAAATTTGTTCCTTACATACAATTTAAAAAAAAAAAAATTTTAAATGCTTCCTTCAGTTTTTACTTATTATGTAATTTATTTTCAATTATTTACACAATGATAAAAACTACTGTATTTATTTAAATTTTATCATTGTACAAAAAATTCAAAATAAAATATCTACTCTTGTAAAATAATAAAATTTTCATCATTGTTTAACATACCTGCCTGTCTGCTTCAACATGTCTAACATCTTTGCCTGAAAAACTGGGTCCACAGCTTCTACACTTACACCCTAATGAAAAATAAAATTATATCTATTCAAATCTTTATTGAAAGACTAGTTGTAAACAAGTCAAAACTACATTTTTACATACAGTAAAATTATTTATTAAACTAAATTAATTGCAGTCTTCAATGTTAAAGATTTAGTTTAATAAAGAAAACTGAAAATTTGAAATTTCATTTCAATTTAGTTATATTCCTTACATTTTTGAATTATCAAATATTAATTATGATTCTATGTAGGCTGTTTTTTTTAAGCTCTGATGGTCCATAAAACAAAGACAAATATAAATAACAAAATAAATTTATTACCAAAAGTTAGGTACAAACATGGTTACTTTTCGACATAATCACCATTAAGATTGGGGCATTTGTCATATCTGTGGACAAGCTTTTTAATCCCCTTGTCATAGAATGTTGCCGCCAATGACTTGAGATGGGTCCTAACATTGTTTTGAAGATTATCATTAGTCTTGAACCTCTGCCCTCCTAGCCACTTCTTCTGTTCAGAAAAGAGATGGAAGTTACTCAGTGCTAAATTGGGGCTATATATTGGATGTTTAAAGGTGGTGAAGGCTTCTGCCCAGCTTAAAACTTTTTAATATGTGAAGACTTCCACCTCTTTCCTGAAGTGAAAATGTGGCTAACAGGGCAGATCTTCAAAACAACATTGTTAAGGCCATCTCAACTCACTGGCGGCAACATTCTATGACAAGGGGATGGAAAAGTTTGTCCACAGATATGACAAATGCCTCAATCTTCACAGTGATTATGTCGAAAAGTAACCAAGTTTGTACATAACTTTTTGTAATAAATTCATTTTGTTATTTACAATTCTCTTTGTTTTATGAACCATCAGAGCTTGAAAAAAAAACTGCCTTTGTATTAACTTTAATTAACATTTTTACATCTAGTACAAATATTTAACCAATATCTGATAACACTATTTTTCAATTTTTATTTAAAATTAAAACAACTGAAAATAAGAGAGATCTTAAATGGTGACAGAATTATGTTAATAAATTAAATCTAACTTATAAACAATAAATATATTAATAGTTCAAAATTTGTGAGATTTTAATCAGTTTTTGACAAGACTATGTCTCATCTCTAAAATTGCACTGTCGTCAAAGGCTGCACACCTTAGAGGTATGAAGAAGTACATGTCAGGAGTTGCACTTTGGCACAGAGTATTTGATGCCCAAATCATGCTCACATAAAATAAACCAGACTTGTAGGTAGTCAGGGGACTGAAAACCGGTTCAAAAGAAAATATGAAATGCTGAGACTGTTTCTACAAACAGGTGCAAGTGCGAGATTTGCACGTGTTGCTCGCACTCTCTGAGACATAGTCTCGTCCAAAAAATGACTTTGCTGTTTTACTTGTTTTCATTTAAATTCTTAATAGCCCAACTCTTTCAAATTATTATTAATGGCAATTTATGTATTTATTGTGTAATATAAATTTAGAAACCTTCTATCTTGAATAATCATATAGTTTATATGTACACATATGTATGTGTACATAACTCATATACATATGTATGTGAGTTATGTAAAAATCACCTTACATACAGGATTCACTTACATATGAAACTTTCTACAATAGTAATTTTTAACCCAAGATAGAATATCACTTGATTCAGCTAGTTGAATATATCTTCATATACAGTAGAACCTCGTAAACTCGGCCTAATGTGGACCGAAGGGTGGCCGAGTTTGTGAAAATGCCGGGTTATCGGGAATGGGGTTAAAAAAAATAAGTACGAGTGTTTCCTCAGAAAATACTGTACTGTACTTGTATGTATTGTTTACTTGAGAATATAACAGAGAATAAACTGCCCAAATACCCTTAAACAAAGGAAAACTACGTACTTTATGAAGGCTACGTACTTTACTACATGAAAATGAAAATTAATGAATACACTGTGTACAGTAATTTACCTGATAAGACAGACCTCAGAAAAATACTTTATGAGAGCTTTTATACTTTTATAAAGCTGTCTATAATGAAAATTAATTAACTAAGGATTTTTTTGCCCTGCCAGGGTGTGGACGAGTTATCCGGAGTGCCGGGTTATCGAGGGCCGAGTTTTCGAGGTTCTACTGTATTAAGAGATTATATATGAAAAGGTTAATTATAATAATAAACTGAATTTTTCTTAAATTCACTTTTTCATTATTTAATGTATTTTGTGGTTGACTACATCTATAACACGACACTTACAGAACTCAAAATCATGTATAAATGCAGTGTTTGCGGCACCCATGCCATAAAAATTTTATAGCACAGCTTTATGGCATGGGTGTCGCAAACACTGTTTATACATGATTTTGAGTTTCATAAGTACAGTGTTATAGGTGTAGTTTAACCACAAAATGCCATATGACAATTCATTTATAATTAGTGATTATGGCATTCATGGAAATTGGTCCACTTGCTCCGCTCATTTGCCAACTTCCATACATGCCATAATAGCCTATTATAAATTACTTGCATAATATACTATTCTAGTAGTATAAGATTTAATTAATTCTTACTAAAACTGATAATGCTATAAAACTTTTTTGTTATTTTGTTACAGAATAAGAAAAAAAAACTAATGCTGAATTTATTGATATACATTAAATTGTTTTTCTTTATATGAAATCAGTTTTATTTGATGATCATAGGAACCTCCAAGAAATTAAAAGAAAAAGTAGGATCAAAATAAATAGTTTTTCCATTACATAAAAACTTCTTAAAAACTTAGAACAATGGTAAATGGGTTTTTGAATGTCATCATCATGCACCAATTTGAATAAATTGAATTATAACTGATGTAAGGAAGTTTGATTAGAAAATATGTCTTTTTTGTTGTAATACCTAAAGAAGGCCTCTGAAGAGACTCTGAAATTATCCATATTTTTGAGAAATAAAGATGCTGAAAATTGTGTTTCAAATGCAAGTTTTAGTTACAATAAAGTTCCAGCTTCTATGGTGATATATAGATGTGATTTTGAACATTAAATAGCCTTCCATTTTTATTTCAACAAAACCAAAACATTATAGTGCGCATGATCGGGAAAATTTTATTTTTAATGATTCAGATGTGTTAATATTCATTAAAATAACAATTTAACTAATATAAAATAATTACATTTATAATCATTGCTAAGTGACCTGTATTTCATTAATGTTTTTATAAATAACGAGAAACTATTTTCTGCGAATGAATAAGATGCAACACGGTTTTTAATTGATGGATGTAGGATTAAACCAATAAACAAAGGGATGTGTGTCTTAATTTGTTTACAGTAGGTGTCAACTTATGATAAATAGACTGTAGACCTATATTGACAGCATGAAGTATATACGGTTTACAGAAATTATTGCAAAAACGCAAAGAATCCTTCGTTCGCATGTATAAGACGACCTAGGTTTTTGAAGCAGTGAAAAATGAATAAAAACCTTGTCTTGTATCGAGTAAATACAGTATATTCTATATTAAATTATCCTGTTCTTCATAATTCAAAATCATTTTACAATTAAATTAAACTGATAACTTACTGTTCCAGATTGAGGCATTGCAAATACATCAATCACTCTTACAGTATAATCATCCACGAATTCACCTAACATCAAACCCATGACTTCCATCGGTACACCTGCTCGTCCATGTTTTAACATCTGATAAAAGTTAATAATGTTTATTAATACTTTTATAATTAAGAAAACTTTCAGAATAATAATAAAACAACAAACCTTCAATAATGCTAAAGATGAAATATAGACTTGTTCTGCAGTATCAACAACAGGTCCATCACTCTGAGGTGGTGCCTTATATTTAATTTGTTACAATGAATAATTACCCATGGTTTTAATTAATATGCATTAATTGCAATTTTTAATTCAAATAAATTACACTTTAATATTTACCTGTCCCAAGCCTCCTAATCCTGCACCTCCTAGCCTAAGAAGTCGATCCATATTGATGCAATTCAAAAATTCCTATAAAAAATTATTATTAAAACATTGTCTTATTGATTCATTCATACAGAAAATGTTAAATAAATGTTATTACATATTTAAGGAAACAATGCATCTTAACCAATTTTTCTTTGTAACAGAAAAAAAGAAAAATTTGGTAATTTCAATTAAAAGAATAAAACATAATTTAAGTAATTAGTATAAGTCAAATATTTCAAATTCAAATATCAGGAGAATTTTTTTTGAATTCTCCATTTTTATAATTCTAGTGTTCAAACTTATTTCATATTCTTTGATGATATGTTTTCTCTTTATTTTCTTTTTCAATCCTTTTATCAGTCAGTTTTTTTTTAAGCTAAAGATAATCTGCATAAGTTCTGTACTTAGATGTAAAAATATAGTTAAACAGTTTCACTATCCAGACTAAAACTGAAACACATGATAATTTCATCTACATTCCAGTAGTACATGTTACTTTCTTTTTTTAATTTTTATTTCAAAATATGAGATAAACTAGCTTCAAAATAATACAAATTTATACTTAAAATTTCAAATTAACTATTTTCTATCATTAATTTATTTATGAATTTCAAGAGAAATAATAATGAATTCAACTTATCCAATAATTTAAATGAATCAAATTCAACTACATGATATTCTCTAGTTGATTTTATTATAAATTAAAAACAACTGATCTAAAATACATCACAATTCAAAATATATCATATGAAAAAAAAACAATTATTCAAAATATAATTTAAATATTTCAAACAGAGTTAATGTGCATTCCCATAATATTAATTTCACTATGTAAATATATTATAGAAAGACAAGTTTCAAAACATCGTCACAATGTCATGCTGCAATTTTTAATTTATTTAACTTAAAATATATGCTCTCCACCTCAAATTAATAGTGGCTTGCCCCTGTACATCATACTTTTCCTTTAACAATAGAGTCATGCCAGTCATCTATCTAACACCTTTCAGGGAAAATTTTTTAAATTGAAATAATGTAACTTCCAATTTGCATCAGAAAGTTTGTATGTAGTTAACCAAGGTTTCCTGTTCCTAAGGTTTCTACACCTGGTCTCGTTTTTCATCTATCCAACTTCATTCTTGAGATTAAGGAAGGACAGATGGATGGCAGTGGAAATTTATAGACCTTCAATTTTTTCAAATTGCAGCTCAATTACTTAAGCATTATTAAGATTGCCAACTCTTGAATATACCTGCACTTACAGGCAAAGGCTAAGTATAAAAGACTTGAATTACTGTAGACTCTTGCTAATCCAGCCTCTCAATTATCTGGCATATCCCACTAAATTATCTTTCTCTTATTCAAGTTTAGTATTTTTTTAAATACATATACTAAACATGTAACAATAATTTTAATAAAGAATTAAACTTGAATTACTAGTCTATATCCCTGTACATAATTACACAATAACAAAGTAAAGCTCCAAAAATAATCAATACAAAAGAGCGACAGTCATGCTGTTCATTGCCTTTACTCCTATACACCACTCAGTAATTCAGCATTCTTCTATGCAAAGAATAGCCAGATTAGGAAGGGTCTACATTATTTCAACTCAATTTTATATATCCAAAATCAGTTTATTCATCACTTTGTGCAAATGTACTGTAACTAAATAATTGACAAACAATATATATATATGATAAGAACATAATCACAAACAAATAATATATGTATTTTCATACTAAATAAAATTTATTATTCAATTATTATTAGAAAATTTACTATCAAACAATTTAATATTTTATTTTTCTTTAGTATTCTTGAATTTTCTTCATTATTCTATTGATATTTATGATGTTACTTAATAAAAACTTATACAGTATTATTTTGTCTATAATTTGTTATGCAATACCCATGCTTCTATTATTGAAAAAAATTCTTGTAAAAATTTGACAACATAAGCTTCAGTTCAAATCTGTAAATGATATGATGATAAAAATAACCATTCTACAGCAATGCAGGTGAAATGCTATTCCCACTCAAGATTTTTTTACGAAACAAATACTCTCTTTGACTATCATTGGGAAGTATCCAGATGACTTCATAATGTCAACTAATAACAATTGATGATGTTTATTTGCTGACACATTCTGTCATTGATGTATTACTTGTTCCATATAGATTTTTATCTGAAAACAAATATCCACTTTATGCTAACGATAAAAAAGGTACTCTAATATAAATGAAGTGACATGTTAACATATTCTGAATTAGTTCTTAAAATTCCAAAAGATAAACATTGCAATGCCCTCTTTAAATATAAAGTTTAAAGTGTGCATTCAAGATATTTCTTTGTATATGCAATTTGTATAATTAAAAAATTGGAAAATTTATAAGAAAAATTTGCTCAGTATCAAGTTTTTGTAATCTATCAGCTATCAATGTTGTTTAGAACACAATCAATCATATGGAATGCTAAAAATATTCCATGTAGAACGTAAGTAGCTTATTTAATTAACAAATATACTGGAACTGATGCAAAAAACATTGTATGTACTTTCTTCAGTAACATTTAATAGAAATTTCAAACATTGTTGGTCACATTGAGAGGTCTTTCTCAAGTAAAAAAGCTGTTCCATTCTATGGAACAGCTTTTTTATTTGAATAAATAAAAAAGCTGTAAAAATTGGAAAAACAGAGCTTTTGAATTGAATTCCAAATCAAAATTCCAGAATCACACAGAAACCTGATATAAGTTTTAATCCATCCCCACGTGAAAACAGACGACTATTTGGAAATCAGAATTTGAAGAAACTCATAAGCATAATCGATGGAGAGTGGATTAGACTGTTAAGAATTGGCAAAAAAGGTTCCCGATTGTCTAGCTTTACATGGACAAATTATGTTGTCAATTTTACAAGATTTTTCCATAAAGTTTAAAATGCTAGTAATTTTTGTGAGACAATGTGTGCATTTACATGCATTTCCTATTTGTGATTAAAAGAAATAAAATTAAAATTGTATTAATAAATCTAATTTTCTTTATTTTGATTTTTAAAGCCGCATGTTGTCCTATATGCGAGATCGTCTTATATTCAAGTAAATATGATCTATAGTAAAAATTTTTCTCCACAGTGTCATAATATCTCCATATTCTTATTGAACAAATTGAAAGGAATATCCAGTTGCATAGTTTCCTATAACTTCATTGTTTTCCAAAAGACAACTTCACTAAAATTTTTTATTTAATTCATAACATTTGAGTACTTTGTCCTCATATTAAAGACTATTAAATATACATCAATACATGTTAACCAATAAATAAATATCAATTGAACAAATTCATACTTACTAAATGGAGATATTTGGACATTTTTAAAAAACTGATGTTCACAATTCAATTATCATACATATTAAACATTTAGCATTTAATACAATTGAGTAATTTACAGGAATAGTTTTTTGAGCTTCTCAAGTTTTAACAAATGATGTTTTCAAAGATCCTTTTAATCAATTAGTGTTATATTGTATGAATCAGAAAATCTAGTTACAACTTAAAAGATAAATTACTTTTTTATATTTTAACATATAATTAATATATTTATTAAATGGATATTGTGAAATACAATTTACATAAATAATAATTAAATTTTAAAAAATTTAAATTTAAAACTAATATATTAAATACAGTAAGTTAGCTAATTATACTAGACAATTTAAAAGACATTACAGATAAAACAAACATTTTAATATGAGAAGTAAACACCACTCAGAATTAAGTTTCATTAGCTTAGATAATATTTACAATAGCCAGATATTAATAATACATCCAAAATAAATGTGTCTGTCTATCAACAACTTTTGGGAACAAGCAATTTGTTTTTTAAAATGGCAAACTCATGCTCACAACGATCTAGTAGTAATGTCATTATCAAATATAGATTATATGATATCAATATTGAAGTGATGTAGTGTTGAGAAATGAGTAACAATATTCTATGGGTAAACCTTAACTCATAATGGAATAGTTGGATTTTACACATTATCCAATATATCTATACCAGACCATTGAGGAAAATCTCCTAATAATCAGATTCAGGCTCAAACCTGGATCACTCAGAACAACAAATGCTCATCTTAACTGTCTTGGACATCCAATTAGAGGTGTGATCATTTCCTATCTAAACATGCAATTATCTAAAACAATATATCTGTAAAATAGAAAAAAAAAAATAGTAATAGTATTCTACTTAACAAAATTAAGTAAAACTCTTCTAAGTGGTTGTCATATTCCTATTTAAAAAACTGTGTAAACTGTAATTGTATATATATTCAGCTTTTCATTGTATAATTTCATATTTTGTCAAAAAAATTTTGTTCATGTTTGACATGTGTATGAATTAAGATACAAGTTAATAAAACAGTAATTTTATTATATATGCAAGATTTTGATATGTTACTTTATATGTGTATGTATGTATTCATTCAAAAATTTGATTTTTTATAAAATTGGAATAAGTGAATGGCTGCGTTCTGCAGACTCAACAGTTTCAGAACTGTTGAGTATTTTTCTGCCGAACACCATCTACAGTAGTGCCCTTTTGGAACACGTTTTGTGTTTTGACATCAGATTTGGTAGCGTCTTTCATTTATGCTACCCATCACTACTCGAAACTGACCAATGAGGTTTTTTGTTCCAACACATCATTCAGTAGATCCAGTTGCTATGTAACAGCTACCAAATTTCTCAGTTACAACTGTTGAGTCTGCTGAACACAGCCAATGTCTACATAAATGATAAGAACTCAATGCTTTCTTCTCATTAATTTCCAGTATTATTAATTATAATAATTTATTAAAAAAATGTTTGATAAATAATTTCTATTTCATTTATCTACTAATTTTTTGTGCTATATGAACTAAATAATACCTATGTGATCCACTGTACATATATAAAGGAATTATCTGTCATTTCTAGCAAGATTTAAGATTTTCTTAACTTAATGATACAGGATAACAATTAAAGCTTTTATTTTTTAATTTTTGAAGATTCTGTATTAAGGAATAAGGGTATAAAACAACAATCATTATAATTTGAATAGTATTAACATACTTTCAAATGTGTTAATTCACGAATTAAGTGAATGACAATGTGTAGACTAAAGTACAATTTAATTAAGACATTTTAATAATTAATTCGTGTGTTTATATGAGTAAATATTAATGTTCAATTTCATATAAGCTAAATAATTCATAACTAAATACTGAAATAATACAAAACACAACTTACTTTTGTATACACTACTTTCAATCTAAAACATTACACTGCAAAATTTGTTTACTCTGAAAGCCAGTAGGGAGCGCTGTAATTAATAAATATTGTAATTTAATAATAATAAAAAACATCATTTTTTAAATTATTTATTTTATTTTAATAATGTATATATAATATAATTTATTATTTTAAATATCTTAATATAAATTTTCTTAATTAATTGATCAAAATTCTAGATTTTTGCACATGAACAAAAGTGACGTTTTTTTTAAACTCTTTTTGCCCTTTGGGCACTAAGAGGGTCTCTTATAGCAAGTCCATTATGGGTCGACCAGGCCCACAATGAGGCAGCCGGGTGGTGAGGGAAGGGACCGACATATCTGGTCGGATACCCCCGAAAAATTCCTGGGAATTTTACAACCCGTCCATGTTCGATCCCGGGTCCCCCAGAGCGGTAAGCTGCCACCTTGACATCTCGGCCATCCGACCTTAACAAAAGTGACTCTTCGAAAGAATTCGTGTTACGGTTATAGGATATACTGTGGTCCTTACGTAATAAAGAGTAAAATTATATACGTGGCAAATTGAAAAAACAATACACAAAATTTCTAGAATTACAAAAATATAGTATTAGTTTCAAATTTCATCACTTAGTACATCGACCCGAAAAACATATTGTGCCGTAGTCGAACGGAATTTGAGGATTATGGACCAACATTTCCGTTATTATGAAGATCAAAAAAATATATCCTCTGCTCCATTCGAATTTCTCCAGTAATTGTAAATTGAAGCCAAAACGCTGTATAGTACAGAAATATTGACACCAAAATGTTTAAATGTTGGCAATTAATGGAATACATTATCATTTTTTTTTTTTACTAGTTTGTCAAAAACGAGGTATCAACATATTACGGCCATATGGATCGCTCAATTTAGTTCATTACAGGCGGATCTGATCTTCAATGGAGTCAAATCTTCGCAGGTGAGAGATGAAGAACAAAGTCTCCGACTAGCACTCCGACTCCATAGTACATATATGAATCGGATTTAAATCTATATCTACACGGTGGAAGGCTGATATATGATACATAAAGGAATCGATTTCATGAATGAATCGTGGCATCATCTCATATAGACGGAAAGAGAAGAATGATCCATCTAAAGCAAAATTTCTGTTCAAACAATCTTTAGAAGATCTAGAGAATTTTCATTACAATTTAAATTTCGTTAAAATGTAATGAAGACTCTCTTTGCATCGTGATTTTCTGACAAAACGAAATTTATTTTATTTAAATAGGAAATCCTTTGGGTTCTGTATCTGCCATTGATAATATGGGTCACAATTTTGGATGAGAAATAAATGCATCAGACGAAGAAACTGAAGTGGATTTAAACGCATAGAAGAAATGAAAGCAAAGAAATTTTCTACCTTATACAAGGAATTAATTGATAATGGAACGAAATTTAAGCCTGTATTATTGCCATGTTAAAAACTTTAAAAGCGTAGGCAGGATTTCCGAATGTCCGAACCCGAATACCATCAGTGGAAATACAAAAACCATCATATCCCATCACAGGTGACTTTAAAACCACCACAGTATTATGTCCTTCTTTGAAATTCAGTTGACATGAAAATTTTTTAAATATCATGTCTATTTAAAACATTTTAGACATATGGAATGCAAACAACAGCATCAAACAGTCTTATATATTAATTAGAATAGTCCTTCTTCCTCCTTTGTTTTTTTTTTTTTTTTTTTTATCTTTTGGTATACGAGATAAGTGTGAACTAACTTTCTGGGGCTTGGGCTTAAGATCTCTTCGCACCCGTTTTAAATATATATATTTAATACATGTCCAAGACCAGCCCTGATGTCAATCGTTCCTATTGCGGATTATATCCGCTCCTAAGAGCGATTTCATAGTATGACCGACTGGACCGACTGTCCAATCATGTTATAGGCCCATCAGTGGCCAAGCGGTCTTCGAACCCTGAGACCCAACTGGGAGTTCGGTCGTGGGTTCGCGCCTCGCTCGAATGGGCTGACCACGTGGAGTTTTCTGTGACGCCTAAATAGGGGTCAATTTCCCATAAAAGATCTCCCGGAAGACATCACCCAAGTGCTGCGTTTCCATAACTTAACGAATAAACCAAGTCATGTTGCCGTAACAACAGCAGTCGGACAAAGTTAAATAAGTCAAACCGAAACAAATTTTTCCATAAGGAGCAATATAAAATGGATTAATAAATATGAAATATTAATACTATATTATATTAATAGATTTTTGTTTCTTTTTTAAATTTAACTTAAGCATATTTAAATACGAATTCTTGAATACAGTTTGTATTACGTCAATATCTATTAATTCCAGGGGCGTGCCGTGACATTTGATGATAGGGAAGCTGTGTTTTTATAACAAGCCGACTTCCAGGGGCAATCAGTCAGCGATGGTCTGGGGGCCATTCGTATTCGTTTGTTCGATAAGCCAGTAAAAACCGTAGACTTCTCTAAATGTATTTTTAATTAATAGATTATCTAACGCACTTAATAAATAAGCAATTTCAATATAATTAACTCTCTTATATTAGATTTAATAGATTCTATACGCCCTCTAAATGCCAATTCTCGCTTCGATAACATCTACTAATTAAAATATATCTATTAGCCGTAACTATCT